CTCTTTCCCCGAGTTTTACACATATCCTATACACATACACATATCATATACACATATATAATCATTAAGTATTTGAATATTTACTGCCAAACCACCGACATGCCTTTTAAAGGTCCATTTTGTTATTTTACATAATTTTGTTAATTTGAGGATCGCAATACAGACGTCTCACTTTGGGATTTACGGAGAAGATATCTAATTCACAATTTGCAAAATCGCAAAATTCAAAATAGTTGATTCTGATTCCAAATCTCTTTAAAGATCAACTTTCAAAAAAAGGCTGCTCCCATATTGTCAAATTATCAAGTCCTCTAAAAATAATGAAAAACAGCACCAGCTTTCTAAGTACGTGTATGTAGTATGTACATGAAAAAAATGAGTCAAAATAATGATGATCTTAACTTTAACAAGAGGCCCAAGGGCATTACCGGTCACCTGAGTATAATAATTCATTGAAGTATGAAATAAAACAAAATAAACTGAGAGATGAAGATATGTTGCCCCAAATCAAGAGAAATGGGATAATCTGGGATCAACAAAATAGTTACAATATAGTCTTGTTCTCGATAATAAACCATAAAGCAGATCTACTTATTTGCCAGTAGTTATACACTCCTTTCTGTCACTGTCGTCATCCAGACAAAACAATCCAATACTGCCTGAGAACATGTAGTAAACCCCACACATTCCATCACACATTGGTTTATCTTGGTCTTTGAAGAGTATGTAATGTATGAAGATAATGTATTTTGTTTCATATTTTTATATCTATATTATTTACAAGTCTACGTGACCATAAAAAATAAGAAAGTACTTTTTGTATTACACATTAAATATTCTTGTTGAATTCTTTATTCAATATGACCTATCAGTTACATTATTCACAATAATTTTAAATTATCATAAGTAAATAGCAAAAGGGAATAACTTTTTAAGTAGAGTACAAATGTCCCTGTAATATCAATGGAGCCCTACCCAGAACCAGACCACTTTCAGACCTAGTGGTCAAGAATTTCACAAATCTGGTAAAAACACCCTTGCAACTAACATTTTCAAAGGATTTATGCAATTTCACTATAAAATCAATACAACCCCTCCTAACACCAGAATCCTTGACCCTGGGGCCATGAATTTCACAATTTTGAAAGAGGCATCCTTGCTTATCATAACTATGCACTTTGTTTATCTGCTAAATACCCAAGAGCAGAGAAGAAGATTTTTGAAGAAATGAAATAAATGCATTTTCACTATACTTTCAAAATATCTCCCCCCCCCCTCCAGATCAAAACCCCTGATCCTGGGTTCCTGAATTTCAAAATTCTTGCAAAACATAATCAAGTACTTATTTTGTTTCTAAATACCCAAGGGTAGAGAGGAAGATTTTTAAAGAAATTATGCATTTTCACTATATGATCAATAGAGCCCCACCCTAACTCCAGAACCCCTGACCCAGTGGCCAAGAATTTCTCAATTTAGGTAAAGGAATCAATGCTTATTACAATCATGCCAACAGTTTAACTGTTTGATGTCCACGAGTAAAGAAGGGAGTAAATTCACTAAGTTTGTTCCCCTTCACCCATATATATGCCATATGCTAAAATTGGCTGAAATTTGTTTAGTGGTTTCAGAGAAGCTGGAAAGATTCAAATTTTACAAATGACGCACGACGAACGACGCACAATGACAAATGAAAACAGATATCAACAGATCACAGATAAAAATTGATATGAATTTTAAGTATTAATATATTATACCATGTGAAAAATTACTTATATACTTTACTTAAACAGTATTCAATATTTCCTATCTCGAAAATCAACAAAAAAATAAAATATCATCTAATATTTAGTTTAGTAACAAAAGTTTGAGCAATAAGAAAAATAATATACTTTTTGAACTAATATTTTTTCAACACGTGTATATCACCTCAAACTCTCATGACTTGCTAGTAAATGACATTTATCTGATGAAAAAATTCGATTGTGTTGAAACTTCGAAATCTAAACTAGATCTGAAATCTAGCATTTCAACCAGTTTCAACCTGAGACAATGCATTTAGCATGGCCTGTAATCGTTGGAATCTTTCTTTGAAGCTGTTATGATGCAGTAATTAATGTTAACATTGCACCAGGTAATTTCCCGAATGCATCGATTATGCAACTGCAGCAGATATTGGTGTGCAGTAATGTATTGTTCAGATGTCCTATTAGATGGAACTTTCCGGTCTGCCACCGAGTTAAGAAATGTCTTCTGTGTCCTAAATGTTGTTTATTGATTTTAAGGAATTAATGAAATCTAAAAATAGGGTATTTCATTAATCTTTAGAATTGTCAACTTTATTAATTTTGTACAGAGCAGCATCTACACATTGAAGAAGAAGGTTTACAAACCAATTATCAATGGTTGCACTTTTCATATAGAATACTTAATAAAATCCTCAGCACAATCATTATTAAACACTTTTTATTGAAAAAAAAGTAAGGTATTTATGGTAGATGAATTTATACTAATATACGAAAGCCTATTAGGATCAAACTACGGTAAAAAAAAAAATTAAAAGGCGTAATAACGCCTTTTAATTTTTTTTTTACCGTATTTTGATCCTTATAGGCTTTCGTACTAATATAATCATAACACATTCCAATGAAAATCCATGAAATATCAAAGGCACCAATACGTAAACTGTGTTTCCACTTAAAAAAAATATCGATTTCATTTAAAACCAGTTCCCACATAATAAGATAGTTCAAATGCTGCATGAGATCTGTGGAAAATAGTTTCTTGATTACTTTAGTCCTGATTTAGCCTTAATGTGATGAATCTCTCTAGCTTATAAAAGACCCTTATTAATTAGGTCAAAATGTCAAAGATCAAAATTAAAGTTTCGTAAAGTACATAGAATGATGAAATGGTTTAAGAACTTTCTTTCTCTTTGAGTTTTTACAATGGAACTTAAGGTGATGACTCTAACCTTGGGGGGGGGGGGGGGATATTCATATTGGGGCAAAAAGGTTAAGGGTCAAGGTAACAAGTTCATATATGATATGAATTAGTTTCCAGATTCAATTCAATACTGTTAACTCTAACATGACCCATATTGATTTTTATGTAAGGGGGGTCAAAGGTCAAGGTCAGTATAATTACAGGCTAATTTAAACAATAAAATGCTTTCTTTGTTTGCAATACAAGGATTTAGGGTTGCGACGTTGCAGAAAAAATACACAATCCGCAAAAGCCTGTAATGTTTTTTTTTCTGTATTGGTTGCAACCGCTTATCCCCGAATTAACAAAACAGAAAGACATTATATTGTGTATATCTTTATCTGTATAAATTCAGTTCTTCGTATAAAGTGGGTAAAAGTACATAAAATATTGTATTTTCGATCTGCAGGTTATATTGATCCGTGCGTTATATTGATCTGTAGGTTATATTGGGGAAAGAGCTCACCTTCTTATCATAAAACCGGATCTTACTGGATACATAAATTCCCCTCAATTAGCTTGTTTCTCCTGCCATTAGCATTCATAGAATAAATTTGATCTATCTTTTGACACTTGATTTTCTACAAGAGAACTAATTAATATAGTGCAATTTGAAAATCTTTTGAATGGTGTTATTTTTCATAGTTTCTCCCAACTCTCACTAAAAGCCCAGGATAATAATTTGGATCGTCCATCATTTTGTCTGTCATGCTGTTTCCAAATGATATATCCAAGGGTTCTTCAGCTTTAGCAATAAAACTCCCTATAATTTGAGAAAGATCCCTATTAGTTTTGAGGTCAAAAGATAAAGCTAAGAAATTCTTATATTGGATAGTATGTTTTCCAGATAACTTTTGTTTTCTTTGACCTTTTGAAATGAAACTTAAGGTGATAAATTTCTCTAACTTAAAAAAGAACCCTATTGATATAGAGGCCAAAAGTGCAAGTTTAAGGTCACAGATAAAATGGTATACTTTAGTTTTCAACAATACTTCTAAAATTTTCTTAACTTTTGCAGTGAAACTTCACAACATTATCCTAATGACTTGAAGAAGATTCCTACTGATTTTGAGGACAAAGGGTTAAAGGCGAAGGTCAGAAATTGACATATTGAATAAAATGATTTCCATATTTTAACTTTAAAAGCAGAGGGTACAATTTTTATAATTAGCTCTTATTTTTATGCCCCCGTATCGAAGATTCAGGGGTATATAGTTTTTGTCCTGTCCGTCCATCTGTCTGTTTATCTGTTTGTCCGCAAAAACATTAACAATGCTCATAACTTTTGATTGTTTGAAGCTATAGCTTCCATATTTCACATGTGTATTCCTTGTGACAAGACCTTTCTTTTGGTATCATCATATTTGACCTTTTGACCTTGGAGTTTGACCCAGTTTTACAAAATTTTACCCAACTTTAATCTTGGCCATAACTTTTGAACAGTTGGTGCCAAGGCTTCCGTACTTCACATGTGTAGTCCTTGTGACATGACCTTCCTTTGGATACCAACAACTTTGACCCTTTGACCTTGGAGTTTGACCTACTTTTGAAAAACTTTAACCTTGGTCATATCTTTAAAATGGTTGGTGCTAGGGCTTTCATAATTCACATGTGTATTTCTTGTGAGGCCTTTCCTTGGACACCATTAATTTTGACCATATGACCTTGACCATGATGTTTGACTTACTTTTGAAAAACTTTAACCTTTTCCATATCTTTTCAATGGTTGCTGCTAGGACTTTCATATTTCACAGGTATATTCCTCGGGACAAGACCTTACTTTGGGTATCAACATATTTGATTGTATTTAGAAAGTTAAACCTTCCCTATAAGTTGCAATACGGGGGCATCAGTATTTCACAAACACATCTTGTTTTATTTAACTTTACATGATACTATATATATGTTTAAATTTGGAAACTACATTTCTTCCACCAATTAACAAAAAAATTTTGACCATTCATTTCTGAGGGGAAGAACAAACTAAATTCTGTAGAATAAAAAAAATAACAGGTATGAACAACAATAATGGATTTATTTACATGTACCTATATATTCACATATTCTTGTGTTATACAAAGAGCACTGGAAATTGTGACAAAAAAAGATGAATCTTAACACATGAAAACTTAGAACTGATTAAACGAATACATACAAGTTCACATATTTCAATAAAAGTTTTCACAAAAAACAATAGTTACATACTGTATTATCATTTTGTATCACAGATCACATTCATACAGTATGAGAGGTACATAATAGAGTGCAGGGTTACATTCAATACTATAGTCCTATGTGTGGTGCATGCGCATGCCCAAAAGTCTGATAATTCTTTCACAGCACAGTTGTTTGCATTACAATACAGTTAAGTAGTCAATGAACCTTACTTCTGGATTCATAAACTATGATAAATTTAAAAATTCTAGTAGATATTAAGTCTAAATTAATGTTTTTTCAATCCTTAATTAGAATCTGTGATGTAAACAAACTGCAATATTGTTAAATAACAACTATTCATACCAAAATAACCCCACAAATCTATATTAAAAAATTATCTACATACATCACACAATGTACCTCTCATTAGGGCACAGGTTTATACTCATACTTAAGTTTTGTATGATTTGAAGACACAACAAGACACTTCACTGCAGTATTACACACACTTATATCACAGTTTTAATACTTTGCACATACTCTTGTCCTTTGATACAGTCACTTAAAAACATATGTACAATAGAACTATATATATTACATGTATATAAAAAGCTTCTAAATATCTAAATACAACTACAAATATAACACTGAATAAGAATATAAAAGAAATTTAACAAAAGCAGAAAAAAATCTCACCTCTCTTTGCTGGAGGTAAAAAAAGACTTTACTTCAAAGTCTTATGAAAATAAATAAATGCTCATAAACAATGATGTAATTCATAAAATATAATTTATTAACACAATTGCTTTAACACAGTAGATTTTCCAAGAAAAATGAACATATGTACACTCTGTCTCTGAAAAATTTTCCCATAAAAAATTGTTTCATGCTTGTTTAGTGTCCATGGCAACACATGTAAATCTGCACCTCCCATACGGAAGAGTCAGAATGGGTAGTTCTGACCATCTGTTTGTTTCTGTATCATACACCTCAATACTAGAGAAGAAGGAATTCTCCCCATCATGGCCACTTAACACATAGATCTTGCTTCCAATGGTAGTAACACCTATATGTACAAAATCAAATCATCATGTCTAAGGAATTAGGAAGGAATTATTCAGCTACCAATAATGCTTTAATCTGTTCAAGAAGTCTGTCATTCAAGACTACTGAACTGTGAATACAGAAAATTGAAGGTCCTTCACTACTTTTAAAAACTGGTTGAACATCGATGTATTCTGACATAATTTGGTTTTACAGTTGAAACAATTAAATTTTATTCTAAATTTACCTGGATCATATCTGACTTCTTTCATCTGAGGCAGCAAGGTCCATGTGTCTCTTTCGATGTTATAGGACACCAGATCTCTGGAAGCATAGGAGTTCTCCAGGATTCCTCCTACAGCATACAGTGTCCCCTTCACAGATAACAGACCACTTACAGCTCTTGGAGTAGGCATGTGGCATAGCTGCCAAGTAATATGAAAAGTTGAACTAAATGTATATATACTTTCTTGTAATTAGACTTTATATACAGCATCTAGTACTTTATATTATTGGTTAAAATTTTAATCAAATGATAAAATATTGATTTACAAATATTTATCAATTCATTTAAATTTGAAGACCTTTTTCTCTTAATGTAGAGAACATTTTTCTCATGCCGTATTGTATATTTTCCTTTCCCTAAATTAAATCTTAATTTTTTACTTGAAAAGTCTTCCTTTTGATGAGACTGGTTTCTGTATCTTTCACTGACTACTAGATTCATTGTTTATATTGATTTCACTATAATTCTTTTGAGTTTTCTTGTATTGTAAAAATAGCAAAAATGAGAGGCCCATGGGCCACAACACTCACCTGAGTCACTTTGGCTTTGCTTTTCTGCAACAGCTATTTTCCCTATATATTTGAATGCAGAACTTCAATTCCCTATTGTGGCCCCACCCTAGGGGATATGAACAATTTACAATTTGCACTACCTCAAAAAGCTTCCACATAAGTTTCATCTTTTCTGGCCCAGTGGTTCTTGAGAAGAAGATTTTTAAAGATTTTTCCTATATATTTTGATGTAAAAATTTGATTTCCTATAGTGGGACCACCCTACCCCTGGGAGGCCATGATTTGAACAATTTACAATCCACATTACCTCAGGAAGCCTCCACTTAAGTTTCAGCTTTACTGGTGAAGTGGTTTTTGAGAAGATTTTGTAAAATTATTCCTATATATTTCAATGTAAAACTTCAATCCCTCCCCCTTCTCCAGGGGGGCATGATATTAACAATTTAGAATCTGCACTACCTAAGAAAGTTTCCATTATCAGCTTTTCTGGTCCAGTGGTTCTTGAAAAGAATTTTTAATAACCCCATCCTATTTCAGCCTCTTCTTGATTATCTCCCCTTGGAAGGGGGTTTGGTCCTTCATTTCAACAATTCAGAATCCCCTTTACTCAGGCATGCTTTTACCAACCTTGGTTAAAATTGGCCCTGTGGTTCTTGAAAAGAAGTTGAAAATATGATTAGTTTATGGACAGACAGAAAGATAGACCAGACAGATGGACGACAGACATAGGGTGATCAGAAAAGCTCACTTGAGCTTTTGGCTCAGGTGAGCTAATAAAAATCTGAAAACATGTTATTTTCTATACCCATATGAAACACCACAATACATAACAAGATAAGATATTTGGCTTTTTACCTGCTCCCAGAAATCATGTATGGGATTGTATCTTTGGAAAGTATTCACACAATGATCAGAGGGGTCAGCTTTCCCACCTGCAAGGCCAATAGGTATATTTTATAAAGTATATACTCTTTGATAATCTTATTTATTAAATGAATTATGGAAAAAACATGCATATTCAGTCTATGCAATGGAAAGTCTCCACTTAAAGCTGAACACAACTTGTAAATAGGCATAAGCCATATTAATTTTCTTATCTCCAATATCAGCACTGGGGTATACTCTTTGCATTCGTTACACCTTTCTTGTCGCGGTACCTGCATGGAATGGATGACACGTTTGTGTTGGTTATCTTACATTACCTTTGTTTCTACTTTATTGCTATACATTTATTTGTATTTGTTTGTACTGCACTGACCTGTGCAACAGATGTAAGTTTCTTTGGTAATTTTCTTTTCTGCCACAGAAGGAGCACATATTAATTTTTGTCCAAGAGTTTTACAATAGCTATGTGGAATATGTCTGTCCACATTGGTAAAAACTGATTACACTGAACAAAGACCAAGTGCATCTAATATAGGGGCAGTACAGTTAACAGAAAATGCAGAGTAATATGGTGGACAAACACAGCTCTCTGCCTTTTACAAATCGTGCACATGTTCATTTTCCTTGTAGACTCTTACTACAAGATGTCTTTATAAGGTGGCTCTTAATTTTTACTGTGATATTTTCTGCGTTTAGTGAGAATTTCATACCTGCAGCATAAAGACATCCATTGAGAGATGTAGCCATAATTCTGGCAACAGGTGTTGATAAGGGTGAGACATATGTCCATCTGTTTGTCTGTGGACAGTATTTCTCCACTGTGCCAAGGTTGGAGGTTCCATCATATCCTCCAATAGCATAAATATAGCCATCCAAGGTGGCCATTCCTAGCTTTGCTCTAGGTGTGTTCATTGAGGCTACCTTAATCCACTTGTCCAGGTATCGCTCATATCTCATCACATTGTTCACCACCACATTCTCTTTGTTGTATCCTCCTACAAAGTTTTAAAATGAAAACCCACAACTGACATCGCAAGAGAATAGTTTTAAAACTTTTTTAAAACAATACATATTTCTATCAATTTTGCTGTAATTTCTAATGATTTATTTGCCACTTCCAATTTGAATTTTATTCAAATGATAAATGCTAACAATTTCAATCACCCTTTAATCCCAACACATTACATGTATTTCATAATAAATTATCAAATTTTTCTCCAGGTAACTAACCAGCTATATACATATGCATATCCTCAGAAACAACAGCGCAGTGATGACAACGGGAGAAAGGCAAATCCTTCAACTTGACCCAAGTACCTCCCTCTAGATTGTATCCTTCCACACAGTTCAAATAGTTCTTGTTGTAGATTTCACCCCCAGTAATGTAAACCACTGACTCTACAGCCATACACTGTCTTGGTATCATTCTTGGTGACAACATCTCCATTCTCCTATCCTGTGAATAAAACCTCATGTAAGTACATCTACTTGTGTATTTTCAGGAATGTAAATACAATTATATATATATATATATATATATATATATATATATATATATATATATATATATATATATATATATATATATATATATATATATATATATATATATATATATATATATATATATGTTGTACAAGTCATTTTCAATCTTTAGGATTATATGATCTAATTTTTATTCTCTATCTTTCAAATATCAACAAAATGCATTATCAATTCTAAGATACTGTCTACTAATTAGAATATTTTACTGGTAGATTAAAGCCATTATAAAATTTCTAACTTAATGCTTATTTAGAAGGACAGTAAGATGGTTACTCCTGTAATACATAAAAATTTGAACCCCAAACACATTAAACGTTTCATGTATGTTTTTTAAATTAAAATTACAAATTTTGCATTATCTAATACTGTTTTTGAGCACTGCATGAAACACTTTGATTAATGTGCATGCGACAATTATGATGTTTATCTGGGCACATGAAGGTTTGTGCAACTGACACTGAAGAGACCAAAGATCAAAATCTGGACATGGTTGTCAGGAAGTGAAGAATAATTCAGTCACATTGGAGCCCCATCTTATCTCCCTATGAGTTACATCATTTTTCATCATTACAGATGAACATGAAGTAATTTATTTTTTCTGAAGTGTGACTATAACTTTGGCATATATAGTGTCAGAGAAGATTCCAGCTATGTAATTATAATTTATGCATCATTTCAGCCTTGGATGAGGAATAGGTGCATCAAGCTTAATTGTTCAATAGTTTTAGAAAATAAATTTAGAGTTCTTGAATTAAGAGACATAGTTCTATTAAAAAGGTTTTAAAAAAAAATGATTTTTTTGAAAGTACAGTATTTAAACCTTGAGGATGTGATATTTCATTGCCTCATCCAGGAAGGGCCTGCAGCCTGGTGCTGACATTAAAAGATGTTCAGAGTCCACTTTGTCAAACAGATAGTAGGGACTGACAAGTGGCAGACGGACATACTGCAGCACGTCTGCTAGCTGGGGAATCCTGTGCTTGGGATCGTGTTTCACCCATCTCAGAATAGCATCAAACACAACTTCCTCTGAACCAACATTCAAGTCGTTCTGACTTATAAATTCAATGAGTTTTTCTTTTGGAAGCAACAGAATCTCTTCTTGCTTGGCCACTTGAGTAAAGTGCTGAATGACATACTGTCTCGCCTTTTCACTCAGTTCATCACAGACATGTGCCTCTGCAAAGCAGTGGATTCCCAAACAGTTGCTAGGGTCCATTTCTCCCTCTAAAAAGTTACAACAAGCTTGTATGATAGTATGGATTTGGACCAGGTTGGCAGCAGACAGAAGCTGTTGGGCATTCTCCTGTGTAATTGAAATGTCTGCTGTATAGGCAAAGTCCACCAGTTGTTTCATTATGTCTGGAGACATGCCATCTATTTTTATCTCTTTCTCTCTACTTTCCTTCATTTCCCCTACAAATAAATAATTGAAAATTCCATCATCTATTATACTGCATGCATACATAATGACAAAATGTGTCATGTTTTACTCAGTGCATTTCTGCTAACCCTAATAAAACAAGGTTATTCAGAGAATATGTGTCCCCACTTAAGGAAAAAAAAAGAGGGTGGAAGAATTAAAAAAAAAAAATGCAGACGGAGAGAGAAAAAAAGGTAAATGTTGACCTTTTAAGATATTGTCCAGAAACCGAAGTATTAAACACAGACAGAATGTATGAATTTGACCTTGACCTTTGACCTCAAAATCAATACTGGTCTTTTTTGAATCATTAGAGTTGTGATATAAAATTTCATTGCAAATGCTCAAAGGCTTTTTAGATATTGTCTGGAAACTAGTATTACACAAAGGCAAAATATATAAATTTATGACCTTTGACCTCATAATCAATGTGGTCTTTGTAGGTCATAAGGAGTTGTGATATGAAAATTCATTGCTTAAGCTTAAAGGCCTTTTGAGATATCGTCTGGAAAAGAATGTGTCACTCAATGACATAATGACAGAGACGAAGACCCATATTAATACCCCCATTTTCAGTGAAAACTAGGAACAAAAAATACAATAGTATTTAAGAAATAATTCCCGCGTCGGAGGAATTGTTGGAGAATATACCCCGATAGTCGCGAGATTTTGTTGGCAAATAAAAACCGAGCCTGAAGGGCAAGGTTTTTATTTGCCAACAAAATCTCGAGACTGAGGGGTATATTCTCCAACAATTCCTCCGACGCGGAAATTATTTCTATTCTGCTACGTCAAATTTTTAATCTCCTATATAGAGAAACGGAGAAGTAGATGTCGACGTTAATATAAGTGCCTTATTACGTCATAATTGAATGCTACTTCTCGTTTATTTGCACTTCACGCATTAGAAAAAGTACGAGGTAATCCGAATCCAAAGTAAACTTTTTTCCCACTAATTTGCGTCACAATCAAAAGAGGCCTCAGTTCTTTTCCTAGTAAGAGCAGTCAAAATAAGAGGAAACCGATTTAAAATTATTGATAATTTGTTGATAACGTTTGTGATTTATTGGAGAATAATGGCCGCGGCATCTCTTTGATCTTTGCAATAACCGTAGTAGGATAAACTATAGTTTACTATAGTTAGCTATAATTGAATATTATATCAAAATTTTTACTATAGCGAATCAAGTTTTAATACAATAAATCAAAGTACCGGTATTTTCACTATGAATTTCATTTTTTTATTCTTAAATGCAAATTTTTTTATCATAAGGAGATGCAGTCAAACCTCATTATCTCAAACCCGATGGGACTGAGAAAAAACTTTGAGATACTCGAGAGTTCGAGATATCCAGGGTAAAATACTTATTAAGAAATAAGTGATTGCCAATGGGACTTCCGAATCACTTTGATATATCCATATTATTTGAGATATCAGAGTTCGAGATATCAAAGTTTGACTGAATTAGTTGTATATTCACATGTTATTTCCAAAATTGGTATATAATTTAAGAGATGTTTTGACTCTAAATCTCCGTAAAAGTTCTGAGTCAAGCTTCATACCAAATCAATCTGAGTCAAGTTTCATACCAAATCAATGCATTAAAGTATGTACCATGGTAAACTATTTTATAGTTATTTATAGTAATTTTTTGACAATTTTCAGGGAAATCTTAAATAAAGTCATAAGGACATAAAGATTGGATTTATCTTTTTTCTTGATGCATTATCAGGTAGACATTTATGGAGCAGGTACGTTCCTAACTAACCAAGTCCTACCTTGAGCAATCTTGATTCGATGTTGTATCTTTAAATACATACTATGGGTGCTGTTCATGTGACTGAATATTTTCATTCACATTTTCTTACATCCCCAAAAAACTTTGAAAAAACTTTCACAGAAAAAAATCTTAAGATGCAAAACTATGCAGATATAATGCATGCAACCTGTACTTTCCATATGAATGATCAAGGTAAATCTCTTAGAAATAGGTCAGTTCCCAAGTGTATTTAAGTTTCACAAGAACACTGATCAAATTGCATGGATGATTTTACTATATAAGGATAGATACTTTCTGTTCTTTGTCTTAGAAGCAGGGATCGACATTAACGGTTGTCCGATTGCCCGGGACAAGTAAATTCTCAGTTCGGGCAAGTGAAATTCGCGACGTACTTGTCCGATCGGGCAAGTGAATTTTTTCTGATACAAATGTACATATTTATTTAGTTTACATTAATTTATAAAACAATAAATTGAACACTTGATTTCAGCCACGCACCTGACTGACAATGTTTTTGCATTCGGAATTCCTTGGTAGCGTTTCTGGATTATACCGCTCATTTAAAAACTGGGTTCGTTATTTTCTTTCGTAGTAAATACGTTCTATGTCTAAGAAAATTTCGTTAACTTCTTATTAGGAAATTAGCATATTTATTCAAGCATAGAATATAAGTACAGTGTAACACGATGTACCATGATTAAGACATGATGATAAGATGCATGTTTCGTAGCAACTATCTTCCTTAAGCGTTGCTTCACAGTTATCTCTGAAAATCACGAATCACAAAAGAATCCTACCGAAAATAATTTTTAAAAATACGAATTTTATTAAAAGGAAACGGAGGGTTATTGTTGTATGGCAGTGTGTGTTATCAGGTTATATTTACAAGTACAGTGGTATACATCTATGTACAAATGCAACATGTATCGACATTTTTTCAGGTAGCTCAACTTGCTAAATTGACAGTATAGTGTATTTGGTCACATTTTTTTCTTATCATAACGTTTACAGTAATTAATAAGACTCCTCTTAAGTTCTTTCATAATTTTGGGCAACCAAGTTTAGCATTCGGACAAGTCAAAGTTCGAGATCACTTGCCCGAAGGGCAAGTGAATCTGAAAGTTAATGTCTATCCCTGAGAAGCGGCAATTAAACTGTAGTTTGAACATGTCAAGTCTGTGTTCTTCACACTTTTAAGCATTGAATTCTTATTTTTGGATGTCGTCGCTCCTATAACACACCTGGCCGTGCCGACAAATTGAATACCGCGCTTTAGCACAGTATGATCATTTGTAGGCTCGGCCAGGTGTGTTATAAGACCGAAGACATCCAAAAATAAGAATTCAATGCTTATATTTACATTCCCTAATTTTCTCTCTTCATAATTATTTATTTTATTAATCTTTATCATGAATTTAGCGCCTTTCAGAACTGGTGTGCTTAATAGAGGCAAGAGCCATTTGTGATGTTGGAGAGTTAAATAATGCAAATGAACATTGTGAGAAAAAAAAGAAGAAAAATTAATTTTAAACGCACAGTTGCTGTATTTTACGTTAATTTAACAGGGTAGTTGTTTTTTTTTTCATCAAACTGAGTCAAAACAATATACATTTTGGTGTTCCTAGAGTATTGAAAATGCATATAGTTCCTACTGTGTATTCTACCGTGTAGTAACAAGGTTATTAGAGATTAGGTGTTATTGAGATTTGAACATCGTAGATTTGTAATGGATTTCATAAAGAAAATTACACTGAATGTACATATATTACATTGATCAAACTTGCTAAGATGTTAATTGCCTCCAGGATGCCTATCACTAAATGATGCTTCTGATGCTGCACATGACCTATATTTTCTGGATGAGTAATTGTGCCAAAGCATCTGAAAAGCCCATTACCATTTGCCAAAAAATGACCAAACTTGCAAAAATGTTGCATTATGGGATGCTTTCATGACACTTCATGTTTCAGGAGCTACCTGCAATTTACATTAAACAGATTTTTTTGACACTTATGACCCTGACCATTCAAATTTAAATCTACAATATCACCCTCTCTGTAAACCTATTAATCTGTGGTAATATGATACTGAAAGACCAAATGGCTGTCCTGACCTTCTGTTAAACACACTGTCACAGGCCAGTTATACTTAATATCTCTTTAATTTCTTGCAAAGAAAAAAACTACAGTTTGCAAATGTGTAGTCTACATGCATGGCACAATATGCAAAATTCAAAAGTATCAGAAAATGTCTAATAAATAAATAATTCATTTTATACTTATATAATATTTTAAGCTGCATATTTGCATGTTTGGTGTACGCTCAAATGTTCTATACAAATTTTAAAATTCATGCTAATTAAAACACACTCTGATAATGTCACAACCTGTGAGGAATAAGCTATTCTAGAAAAACCTGGCTATAAAAGTATTCATGCTTTGGGTCAAAGAAATTGTGATTTAATCATGCACTTTAGAATTGAACAGAGGGAGGTAACTCTATCAAGTGAAACTATCTGAGGAGTACAAGATTTGTGCATCAAACTATTCATGCAGTTATGGAAGATAATTAAAATTTTATGTAACTAGGCAAAAAAAAAAATAAATTAAACCATTTGAACTATATCTTGCTGCATGTATTGCACACTTTGTTAACAAAAGATCACCTGTAAACATAGCCAAAAAATATGGACTGCAAGCAGCCAGAATATTCCTGTGGCACGGAAATTTTTCTCCCTCCACACAGATTATGACATCACAAAGCGTGTTTGATTTTCTCTGTTCATTGAGGCCATGTAAAACAGTCAGAGCATGTGATTGTTCTCGAAAAACATACTCACTTAAAAATTTGCCATCTGTTCTACGAAATAGACCTGCAAATAAGGAAAACAATAATAATACAGAGATATCGATGTAAGATGTCTAAAACTGCTAGTTTACAAAGTATACATTGTATACGACATATTTCATACAAGAATCCTTGCATGCATGAACACCGTAAAAACTCTTGTGCAGAAATCAATACATACATAGGAACTGCTTCAAAAAAGACAAACACAGATCAAAATTACGGGATATTTGAACAAATATAAATATAGTCCGATATTTTTAAAACGATTTTCTTAAATCTTCAATTAAAACTCTTTATTATGCCTCAGTCTGCTAATTTTCAAAAACCAGTATATAAAAATCAATTTGTTAATATATACATACAGCTGTATTTGTTAAAAGCCTTAAATTGATGAATTAACTACTGCCCTCTAAGAAGCAGATGTTATTAGGGATGGGTATTGCCAAAAATTTCGTATCACGATATATCACGATTTTTTCCCAAAATATCACGATAATATCATGATATTTTTACAAGCAGTTTTTACAATGATTTTAAATGAATGTACATAATTTTTCCGAAAAATATGCTGGAAAAACATAAGTTCATCTTTTTCATTTTTTCACTTACTTAATATCAAGCAATTTTGAATGCTAGGATGTCATTCTTTTACCGTTTTTTACACTTCTTGTTATTGCAATTTGAAAGATTGAACAAATAAATGAATAACTTCAATCTGTAATTTATAACTATGTACTTAAATACCGGTATTTTAGTCTCCGTATCAGGATACCTATCACACAATTAAAAATCACGATATACCGGTATACCGATAAAATCGCACATCCTAGATGTTCTAGTCTAATATCCACTTTTGAGACTGGCTGTTCAGCTGTGGGTGCATGGAACTAAGATACACAGAATGCAGCCTTAATTCATCTTAGATAGCAGACAATGTTCAACTCTCAACAGTCAATCAGTGACATTGTGTGGGGAGTCTTAATTCAAACTTTTGTATCAATAAAATAGAACAGTTAACTGTTAAAGTATATCATTTCTTGATGAGTTAGCAATTTAAGACTCTGGTTCCCCTAGATTAGACTGATTTCCTTCCACTTCACTCTGGAAATAGATCTGATCTCAGTGAACCAACATCTTCCTTACTATCTCAAAGACATACTTTGACTATGTGTATATAATAAACACACTTTTTGCCCACAATTAAGCCCAGGTACCCAAAATTTTTTAAAACCAAGGTCTTAATGTAAAATACATTTGGATGCTTAAGTTTTGGAAGTATATTAACTATGTAGCTCTGACGTTCTTATGGAAGAAAATTTTGAAGAAAATTATATTTTAATGAGCAGGGTAATTCAAAGTTCATGTAACAGTTAAATTTTCAAGATCAGACTTGTCGAAATCTGTTGGTTCTGTCAGCAAAGCCGGTAAAAATTTGTCTGGACTGATAACTTTTAAGAAAACATTGGTCCAAATGACCGTTTGAAAAAATCGAGCATGGTGCAAATTTAAAAAAGGTCGGGATCGGAATGCGCAACTGACAGTCACAAACATAAAAGAGATGGCCGTGTGCGCGGCGTGGTGACGATGGTCAATTTAAATTGTTACAGTAAAGACACAAAAATGTCATTTATGTCTCTTATTAAAGACTCTCTATCCTAAGAAAAGAAACTTGTGAAATTTAAGGCTGTTGAAAATGATAAAGGACATTTTGGTTTTGTTATTTATTTCCCTTTCTCAGCATCAAAATAAGGTACATGTATCTGGTCTGACAAAGCTTCATCCGGTCTGGCAGAACATTTGACTTTGTCAGACCAAATGTCTGACAGTGATTTCAAAATTTTGACAAGTCTGCAAGATGCATTTAATAATTAATCTACTTTGTCTGGATCAGAAAACGCCAACTTAAATTTTAACCTTGACATACATCCAACTCTTCAGGCTGACAAAAAACTCAACTCATCCAGCATCCTCGCAAGCCAGGGGTCCTGAGTCAACACGTTGCCGTTGGACCCCTGGCATATTTCATTCAATATTTGTGGGCTTGCTTCTCTCATTGAGAAGCACCAATCAAATTAAAGCTTTCATAAATAGTTAGATAAGGATTCAGTTGACACCTCAAATGCACGTGTTACAAGTTGTTTATCATAGAATGGCTTAATGTGATTGGTTGAGAGATAAGAAAAACAATCAAGATTTGTAATTTTTCCGAAAGATGACACTACAGTCAGCCCACAAATATTGAATGAAATATGCCAGGGGTCCAATGGCAACGTGTTGACTCAGGACCCCTGGCTTGCGAGGATGCTCATCCAGAGAGGAAATATTAAACTTGACCTTTGACATCTGACCTTTAGCTGGCATGAAGCTCAATTCAAAACAAATGTTATCTATTTTTCCTGTATGGTTCAAAAGTTTTGACAAATGTTGAAGATGTGGACAAACAGACAAAGGGAAGCTCCAAAAACATATGCCACTACATTTTCATTCTTGGGAGGCAACAAAAATGGTAGCTGTTTGCTCAGATGGTTCAAGAATTTTTTTTTCCTTTGATGATTGTATAACTTTTCGGGAAGCATATTTGAATTGTTTTATGTAATCCCTGCTTTACCTGGCAGACTTTCAAGCAGAGCCAGTGCGTCTTCTGAAAGGCTGCATGATTTCGTGTGCACCAGTGACACTCCTCCCCCATTACTCATCTCTTAAAATAGACCTGTCTGGAAAAAAAGAAAACAACATTTGTTTATTCTACACATTTCTGTGTTCTAAGATACCACATTAAAATATCTAATCTGTAATCAGATATCTCCTGTATGTGCACAACAAAGTCTAAGAATGCACTTTTATACAATTTTAAAGATCATTTAATAATAGCAGACTTAAAGTTCAGAAGTAATTAACCATAAGACTCCTTTGATCTAAAATTAAACTCACTTAAAAAATTCAGGCATATATCCAATCAGCTTTCCATGAACATTTAGCTGTAAATTAACTTTTAAAAAGTGTTCCTAAAATATTTATTCTGCTATCATTTTTTATATTTCTATATTAATAATGCAAATTTACCATGATCTTAATTCAATTTTCACGAGCTTATCAGTGAAGTAAGTCCAAGACTCAGGTATGCTTTTGAGTCTAAACATCTTTTGTTTAGGTTTTATTTATAGAAACGTTGTGCCAATGCACTGACATTTTGTTTATAAGCTTTGAGGAGATACAGCTCTGCCCATGTCTGAAATTTTACCCAGTGCTGTAGAATTCTTTAAAACATTTTTTTTTTTTGGTATTTGCTCTTTGTTAATTAGCATTTAGTGTTATTCAATTGCTGTTCGCACAGAGGAATGGAAGAAAAAAAAACCTTTGAAATATATTTTCTGGTGTTATAATTGCCAAGAATTTTCGACAGCATTGTATAAATTTCATTTGGGAATTAATGAAAAGAATAAAGCAGTTTTGAGATGAAATATGAAATGCTTTTGTATAGAATAATATGTTATATTTACATTCCCTTTGTGCAAACTTTTTTCTTTTTCAAAATGCTACCTGGTAGTTGAATGACAAAAATATGTGGCAAGTCATCAGAAAATAATGTAAATTAATATAAGATATGAATTAAATTTTTGAGAATTCATGAGGCACATGAGCTACGATGCTTCACGCCTCCATATTTATCATGAAGTGCTAACATGCTTCATGAAATACGCCAGCGTGAAGCGTCATAGTTCTTGTCCTCATGAATTCTCAAAAATTAAACTGATTTCGTAAACTAATTTTTTTTCTTCCAAAATTGAGGGTAATATACATGTACCTAATTTTCACATTGAAATTACTCTTCTTGTACCCAAAAACCTATGCATGCAAGTTTTGTGCTCAGAGTAAATAAAATTTCCTTATCTTAAATCTAATGATTTGACAACACTGAATGAATTCTCCTATATAAACACAAGAACTATTGATATATTTAGCAAGTGTTTGAGAGCTATTCATACTTAAATATCTTGTAAATAATTTGATTACGCAGTGATATTTGATTCAATATTAGCCAAGATGGGAAAAGAAAAAGTGGATTTCAAGCTTAATACCCATGTAAAATATGTAAGTAAAATTTACCTACAATAATTTTAAATTGAAATGATATATTGTGAAGGTATTAACCAATCAAAAAGGTACAGTAATTAGAAAATGTTACTACATTTGTACATGCATGCACCCTGTATTCTCTATTATCTACTTTGCGCATGCCATATTACATATTTTACGACATGTAACAACTATTGCGTATAGCATTGTTAATTGTTTAACCTGGTGATATTAGGCAGATCATTAAGATAGAAAATATACATCACAAGTAGAATACAAGTTTTATGGAAAAATACAATTAAAATAAAGAAAACAGTAATTAGTCAAATCTTAAGTTTGTATGCACTTTAAAAGGAATAATGTGCAAGTTACTTTACCAAGAAATACTAAACAGATACCCTCTGACACTCAAGTATACACTGATACCTGTGTGACATTTCTAAAACATGGAGATATTTTTTTTTTAAAATCTCTTACTTAACACATGCTATACACTTGCATTGAAAGTAGTTTTCAAAAACTCAAGCCAACTACAGCCAGTTGTCTATAAGAAACCGAGAACAAGAGAAAAAGTTGTTGATTTGTTTTTAAAAGAGAATCTTTGTACGGCACCACGTGGACCAAATTCTTTATTGCTCACTTATCAAAACAGCTAAGAGGGTACTGAAAAAGAACATGAAAAGGTTTTGTATGTTGTTCAAAGAATGCTGTCATTTGGCCTCTCAGAAATAAATGCAGCAAAGATAAACTTGTTATTGTTTACTATCAGAATAAATGCCTGTGACTGATATAAACTTTTGTTCTATTCTGCTCAATCATGAATGCCACAGTCTATACAATGGTTGCTATGGCAGAGAGCAAAATCTACATATATAATACTAGTCCATGAAGATATACTATAAAATGCAACAATAAATGTACATGTTGTTATAATAGATTAGATCTTTAAAAATGGGTAACTGTATTAATCACAATAATAAGGTAAGGAACCTATCACTCCATCTTTGACATTGTACACTGTATGCATATGCAATTCATTTTTGGAAAAAAAAGTTAACAACTTGCACAGTCAAACATTGTACATATTTAAAACATGCATGTTAACATATTATATTTGTAAATTATTATATGTGACCAAAAAAATTGGATGAGTTGTTTGCTAGCATGGACAATTATAAATGTAGTCTTCTATACACTTTACAGACATGCATGCATTTTATTAGCATGGCCATGAACAGAGACTCAGAACCCAAATAGGTTTGGCCTGAACAATAGAAATTAAGTTTCTTGGCTTTTTTTCTTCAAAGACATGGTGTTCACCTTCATTTAAGTGTCAAAACATGCTTTGAAAGAATTACAATAGGTGTGATCTGTTTATTAAAGAAGGGGAATGTGTTCTTAAAATATGTTACATAATCTGACAACTTGGCAAACATAACAAAATTCAAAGAAACAGACAAGCTATTTCCCTGCATACCTGAATTTTAGCACATTCAATTTTTGTCTAGGTAAAACAGTCAAGTTTTTGATGAAATTTAACTGATATTTTATGAGTAGCACTCTAGTGCATCTCTGCAAAGCATTTTTTTTAACATGGCTGCATAAAAATTTTACTGTGATATTTCAACTATTCTCAATTTCATATTAAATATTTATTTCCTTTCAATGGCCAGAGATTTCATCTAGGGGGGGGGGGGGGGGGGGGTCAAAACAAATATAAACTACTGCCTCAAAAAAGGTGAAGATAACAAACGGTGATCAATTCAAACAAATCTACAGAGAAAACAAATCTGTAAATGACACAAAACATGGACCCCCAGATATTCCAGAAATGGGATTAGATGTTTAAGAGGAGTAAGCATCCCCTGTCAAATGGTCACACCCACCATGAGCCCTATGTATTAATCAATTAGACAGAATCTCTGTTTTCAAATTTATTATAAAAACAAAGGCCTAACAGTTGGTATCAAGAAATACTCTCCATCATGAAAACTTATATTACCTGCCACAGGATCGATCCTACAGTGTCTAAGGGACAAAGCGCATGCAGGGGTCACCCAAATTAGAAGTATCTATACCGGCCAATGTTTGAAAGGTATGGAAATCCATAAAATTCTTTCATGAAACCCCTATCCCTGTCACATATCTGAGGATCAAGATTAGACAGAACAAAGGCAGCAGAGCTTTGTAAATTTAAGAACTGATACAATGCAGCTTCCTCTTACAATATATTCTAAATATGATATCCTATGGTATTTTTAGTGTGTGTGAATTTGTGTCATTTGACCTTGGCAACATTTTTCTTTTCTACAATGTCACATCTGTTGAGCAATGGACGAACACTGGCAAAAAGAGGCCCATGGGCCTTAATGGTCACCTGAGTCTCATGCTGCACTTTCTCTAGGAATATTCCTACACACAAGTCCACTAAAGAAATCTTCATTCTTCTTTCACAGTGATCTTGTTTTTGTCAAAATGTCCTTGAATCAGGTGACTGACCCTATAGCTTGTGGTCAGGACTGATCATGCACACAGTTTGCTTTCTTGGTGTCAAAGACTACAGAGGATATGCAAACATATTTAATATCTTTCAAACTATATATGATCAACTATAAGCCCTGCAATGGGTTCTGAACTAAAGATTCAGGGAATATGAAAAAAAAATTGGCTATTAAATGTCAAGCAGTATTAAGAAAGAAATTTTTTAAACATTACACAGATTTTTATTGTGTTTTAGTTTCTACATATGATTGATCCCTCAGGGCCTTAAGGATCATGAAATTTGAAAGTTTTGTTTCCTTTCAACTATAAATACTGAATGCATAGCCACACCATGTTTGGTTAAAATTGGCTCTGTTTCAGTGCAGAATATTTCAGAATTTAACACATGAGGGACACTAGAGGACAATAAATAGAACTAACAGACATAGCATTAGGTCAGCTGTGTGAGTTACCTACAGTAATGTCCTTTAAAAACACTGGCCTCACTTCACTTCAAATAAAAATATTTTGAGGAATATGAATCATGGAGAAATTCAAATGTCAGTATATAAACACAATTTGTAATTGCATGTGCTTCAAGATTAATGTAAACATTAAACCCCAGCACTGCTGTATATGAAGTGTTTGTTACCTAGCACATTGACCATACTGCACCGGTCAGTCACTCTTGGCACACAGACTGAGGCACAGGTACCCATTATGAGAAACATGCATCTCAAATTTATGGTTGTAGCATTTGTGGTAAGTGAACCAACTTTATATATTTACAATCTACATTTGTTTTCCTAAAATAACACCTAAAACAAATGTTTGCATTTCATGCATCAATTCAACATAAATGTGTTTGAAAGTATAGTGATAAATTTGAGTCACTAGATTTAAAAGTCTTTTAAACATAAAATACTAAAAAGAATGCATGTATGTGTTATAATTATTTTCTTTAAAATTTTTTCTTTAAAATATTATCGAGTTTTTTCCCCCTTTTTAATCTGTGCAAGCTTAATTAATTTTCAACTATCATTGTCTGTACCAAGTTATACCTTCCTAACAGGTGACTTTACAGAAATTAAATTTTAATTATAGTATAAGATCTGATGAATATGTCATTGGCAGATATCTCAGGCCACCTGTTTTCTTGTCTGGCCCATATTTAACGGGCCTCTGGTTACACCCTCAGTGCAGTCGAAGGTAATTAAATACAATCTTCAAAGACACTGGCATATATCACAGTAGATATAGGCACAGCTGAGTAGTCAATATACTTTGTATATCTGCACAGAAAAATCCTTTGGTTAACAAATGTTCATTTTAAAACAAATGCACAATAAATGTTCCTGCAGCTGCACAGTGAAGTTGGTGCAATTTTTTTTCTCTCTAAAACTTAGCTTTGTCATGGGGAGACTTGGCAAGCTTTAGCAAACATAGGAATTGAATGTACCAGTTATCTTTCTTCTCTTTACAAAAATATATGTTCAACATAGAAAATACTTGGATTTGTAAGAGCATGATCGAGTGTTTTCCATGTTAACCTTCAAAGAATATAAATTACACCCCTCTAGACTGGAATTCCTTCATTCATTACAGCAAAACTTGTTTAATAAACATCATGGATATAGCAAATTTACAGATTTTAGCAATATTTTTGGATTCCCAGCAATATAATTCTTAATATTCTTTGTAAAATTTTACTATTACAATGATTAAACTCCAATATACTGATCGAATTTATGGATAAAATAACAAATGATGTGTCCTGTCTAGTAACGTTAATATAATGGAATTTTTTCATCTTTTAAAGATCTCTAAATTTAAAATATTGAACTAACATTACTTTTTGTTTGTACACGTACTTGTATTTGAAATTTGATTTAATCATCATAAAACTTTAGTTCTCCAAGGTAAGTTTTGCATTTAACTGAACATATGAGGTAGTTATACTTAAACAGGGTTAGTGTTGCAATTTCATATAATATATTTATATACTTTAAATATATTTTAACAATTCATTAAACAAATACTGTAAAATCGCACATTTGTAGGTTCAAATTTTAGTGGCTGGATGATAAAATATATTTCATGGCGAATTGATTTTGTGGATGAAGAATTGTTGTTCGGTAGTAATATATGTGAAAAATTACATTTTGTGGTGGGTTTTTGGAAGGTAGTAAGTGGCTACTGTGTGAAGAGAGGAACTGCATGCTCTTTATCTATTATGATGAACAGAAAATCAAGTGTGATTTAACCTGTTTTATAGACATTCTTTGAGATGGACAAGGTGCTACTCTTCTACCTTCTAATACCTCCCCTTCAGCTCCTCCTTTTTTTCTTCATGCGCAACCTCCTTTTTCCTCATCCCTTCCTGTTTTCTCTTCTTCAAATCCCTCCCATCTCCCACTTACCCCCCCCCCCCCCCCCACCACCACCACCACCACCACACACACAGATACACACTTCCAAATAAAATACATTTAACTGCAGAAAAAAAAAAAGATCCCCACAAGTTAAATTGTTGGTTGAATTTTAGACCCCCCAAGTTCTTTGGCTTTACTGGAAAAAAAGACGAATTTTACAGAAAAATGAAGAAAATATCCATTTAAAAAAAAGAAACAATGAACAAATCTTGTTTTCCAGAAATCTCTCTTAAGTGTTCTTTAATTTCTAGATCATTTGGAGAAAAATATGAATTTTCTAGAAAAATCATTAACATTGAAGATTCAGCAATGCTATATATATTACAGATAAAAGTTCATGCAGCTGCAAATAGAGTGTTGTGTAGAATTATAGTGTCCAAAACTATGGCAGAAGTACCTGAATGCATTAACTTTTGGCTCAACCTGTTGCTATGATTCAAAATCTCTTATCTATGAATTATCTTCTTTACATGTATCAACAGATAGACAAAATGATTCATCTTATGTCAAATTACAAACCACAAACTGATTCTATGTAAATCAATTTTATGATGTCAGTGTTCCTGATAAACAAACCCTGACTTCTGTCTTTGTCTTAATTGGCAAAGCTAAAAACTGAAGATGACCTTGCTATCATCCCATATAATTTGGTTTGAAGTGCCCATATATAAAATGTGCATCTATACTGTACAATACATAGATTGATCAATTACAACCAATCATCTTTTCTTTCTTTTTTGAAAATCACTTTAACTTTATTAATGTTGTCAATGAATTCATGTGCATTATTCCACTATCTCTAATACAAAATTCATATAAAATTCTACTTCATCAAAAGTTAAAAAAAGAAAATTTTGTAAAATATCTTGCAATTTTAGTTATGACATTACTTCATTTTATTATAAGTAAATTATATATGTGCCCTGCTTTAATGTTCTTTGTTTTCAAATAAAAAAAGTCTCAAAAAGTTTAACAAGCTTAAAATCACTTCAAAAATGTTATTCTGAAAAATATAGTGCTTTAAACTTGACATTCCTACATTTCCTTTAAAATATAAGCTAATTTACCTTTATTCAAACTTGATTTATCCAAAGCTCTGACTTCCTTCAAGAACAAAGAAACCCATGAAATATTTGTAGCACGCAGAAAAAGTCACATGGTAAATGTAAACAATTTCATCCCCTCTGTTTTGAAATATGATACCTGCTTCAGCCAATCAGAAGGTAGACAGGAAGATACTGGTCTTCGAGTCATCCTGGTGCAGAAGCAGCTAGGAGGGAAAGTATCAAAACCTGCAAAAATAATCAACAAATGTGCAAAATGCTGGGGACTAGTTCATGGTGCATTTAAAAGTCATACATGTACATATGATGATCTCATAATCTTATTTTTTTCTCAATGGACTGATACTATTTAATAATGACATAAATAAGACTCTTCATGGTGACAATTATACTGATATGATTGTAAAAATAATACATTGTGAAATCACCAATTTTCATGGGGGGTTATTTTTCACTGTTTTCATGGTATATGAAGAGACCCACACATTCAAACCTCCCGCGAAATGTTTAAATTTCATACTACAGTTTTGTGGTTCTTCTTTAACCATGAATTCAAATCCCTCAAACCAGTAATTTTTTCGGAAACCATGAAAATCTGTCCCCTCAAAAATAAGTGATTTTACAGTATATATGATCATACATGGATGTTTTTCTTAACTGTGTAACTGTCCCAAAGTTATAGTAAACACTCTGAGATAGAGAGACCTATGTTGTAGATTGAATGCATGTCTTCCCTATATTTCTGTTAATCCATGTCATCCCTATATTTCTGTTAATCCAGTGAAGACTGCAGATAAGAAAGAAGTCTGACATATATAGATATTTACTTCTGAAAAAGAAATTAATCTATTCTATGCAGAAGATGCATGGATGCATTTTCATTACCTTCAGAATTCTAGATCAGTCCTGAAGAATCACAACTCATGAAAGAGACTTTTGGAGGAAAACAAGAGGTCCATGAACCACAACGCTCACCTGAGTCACTATTGCCTTGTTGTTCTTCATCAGCAGATTTTTCCCCTATATATTCCTGTGTTAAACTTTGATCTCCTATCAAAGCTCCATCCTATCCACAGGGGCCATGACTTTTTGAAAACTGAATCTAAACTACCTGAAAATGATTCCACATATATACTGTACTGGGTTACAAAAGCCTGCTTGGGATATAATATCTCATTGACAAATGGGATATAAAGAAGATGGGAATTAAACAAAAAGAACAAAATTAATGCCTATTGTGTAACAAATAAGAAAGTGAAAAATTACATCTCAATTTTGACAAAACTTTGAATTAATTCTTAGATATTTCATAAGCAAATGAATAAAACCTATACATTTCGGAAAATCTGATTTGCAGCAATTTCAAAAAGATTGAAATTATTTGTCCGGTCTATAAAATAGAATATATATACACACACCAAAGAGGTAAAAAAATGATTATCTCTTATAATATAACATAATTTTTCCATTTCAGTGGGTCTTGGTTCTATTTTCTTGTAAGATTTTACTCAAAGTATGCATATAGAAATATACTAATTTGAGTAACAAATACATGGAGCAAAGATCGACCCACTATACCTTAAAATACACTTTTATGAAACATTTGCATCTTTCTGAGAAATATTTATAGTCCATCAATAGGTCAAGGGTCATATCACAAACACGATTTAAATGCCACTAGTTGTCAATAATGAAGGAGGGATTTTTATTGCTTGGGTTTGAACCTCATGATACCACATTTTCTTTGTAAATCATGGAATGATTTTTTTTCCCCCAAAGAATTTTCTGCAGGAAAGTTTTGTTACGTTTGTCATAATGTCATATCTTCCAACAATAAGAACTTAAAATACTACTTTCAGAAGTTGTTTAAACTTTAATACATTTGAAGGTATAGCATGTATAGGTATTTTGCATGCCTTGATTGCCCTCCGATCTCCTTAAATTACAGCTAAAAAAATTTAACTTTTTATTTGGATTTTTTTCATAGATCCATTTATATATATATTATATGCAAGAACTTTTAGTAAGCAGTTTTAAGCCTACAGTCCGTGATATTGGTCCCAAATTTTTATTTGGATTTTTTTTCATAGATCCATTTAAACATACATTATATGCATTATATGCAAGAACTTTTAGTTGACAGTTTTAATTAAGCCTACAGTCCGTGGGATTGGTCCCAAAAAGTTTTGATCTACTAGCTGACGGATCAAACTTGGAACAATGCCAAGAGTAGGGGTATGTTTCGTATACGGGACACCCCTACTTATTTTTACCACGTAAAAATAAGAAGGGGTGCCCCGTATACGAAACAAGTGCCTGTGGGTATATTATACCATTGAATCATCTCTAGCAAAGTCCAGTGGTAACTGTTTTCCAAAATGCACAATGTGTAGATAAATTCTTTTTGCATTTTAGGTACAATGTCGAGAATAGAATAGAGTTTTACCCTTCTCCACTTGAGACTTTCCAGCTGCCAAGTTAGGTCTTCTTTCTTTTTTCAATTTCGCGGGATTTTTTCATTCGGAACTTCTCGGAGATTTAGAGTAACATTACATCTTCCGAATGAATGCCACAGACCGACTTTCAGTTTTGTCAAGGCACATCAAAAGCGGCACACAATCGTTATCCAGGAGCGTTGATGTAATAATTTAGTATATCCATGAATTTTTATACATTTTATAATCTAATTGATGCCTTAACTTTTCTCACTTTTGAAAGGAAACAGTTCATGTGAAAACGCCACTCTTTCGAATTTCCTCAATTTGAAATTATTTTATGAATTGTTACATTTCCATAGATGAAACATGTAAGTTATATAATCCTGATAATATTATGCCAATTACAAATTTATTGCAAATTGGTTTACCTAAAATTTTTCAGGTCATTGGTTTTATTTATTTTTCCATAAAATAAATGATGATTATTTTGCTTATACAATCTGCACTTTGCAAAAGCTACATGTATTTCCCTTTGCGAGATGAACGGAAAGGTCAATAATGGAAAAAAAACTATGATTTTCTTCTTTACAGTATCAAACATTTGCGATAAATTTGCTATTTTTTCCCCTTCCAATATATATGGGTAACCCTATCCTAATCAAAATACAAGACAGCTGCAAGATGTAATGGTAAATGTACACAAATATCACGTAGGGATAGTGCTAGCGATAAATAGGAATCGGTTATTAATTTGGAGTTAAATGTGACTATTTTGATATAACCTTATGTGTAAGACTGTTGTTATTAGCAGTTATATCTAGGAAAAAAAGAAAAAGAAAAAAAAAAGAGGATTCTGAAATAACACTCCAATTAATGATTTTGGAGCTCAGTTTTGACTTTTGTTTTTTAAAAGAAAACATTGTTATTTTTTCAGATTACCATGAGTGGTGGTACTGTGGTGCCACCCCTAACCACACATGTCCTGGACACTGCCAGAGGGGTCCCAGGAGGTGGTATCAACATGGTGCTTATGATTCAGTCTGGTAATGGAGAATTCAGGGAAATTGAGAGAGGGTAAGTTGTCGTGCATCCATCATTCTGTTACACTACTCCTTGAACTGGACTTTTGGGTCACAAGCTGATGAGCATCAGATTGAACAGATTTCAGGTTCTTAAAAGAGAACAATTAACCACAAGATAAACAATCACATCAAGCATGATATTGTGATGTTGGAATCATTTCATTTGTTTATTTTATCATGACCATAGACCTGCACAAATTCCAAAATATATGAACTGATTTACAAAAAAAAATACACCATTTATCGTTGAACCGCTGCTAGACATACAGTACTGTATTGTTGGGTAACCATGCAATGCCATGCACATTTTAGTGTCAGCTAGGTCATTGTAGTGGGGGTAGAGATGGCAAGATAACAAGTGTCAAGCAGGACAGTTGTGTATCAGACCAGCATTAAACTATAATGGACTACCAGCAAGTGAAGTGATCACTTTACTTTTTGTTAATTATTTTGCAACAAAAATGCTGATGAGTTTAAAAAATTATTGTAGTGTGAAGTACTTCACCCCTTGATTTCTAATACAATATAGCCAGTCTGTAGTTTATTTGATGCATATTGTAAGAAGTTGACTATATCTGTATTCCAAAGAATTAAAAAAAAAGTTAAAGTATTGTGCCTGGAGTGAAAATTGAAATGAGCATGACATAGATTCAAGTTTTTAGGCTTTGATCTTGATGTTGATTTTAATATGATCAAGTTAAACCCGGACAAAAAATTGTATATTATTATTATTTTTTTTTATAATAGGACCACAAACAATGATGGACGTGGTGGATTCCTTACTAGTTCATCTTTCCAGGCTGGAGCAGTGTACAAACTATTTTTTGATACAGACAACTACTTCAAAAGCATTGGAGTGAAGGGTTTTTATCCATTTGTAGAGGTAACTTCACTGAATTTCAAGTAAACAAGTTGATGATGTGTGAAATGAGTTACTAAAAATTAACTTTAATCATTCATGATATTGTACATTTTCAAGTAAAAAAGTGTGCTTTTTACAATTTTATCATCAATATCAATAAGGAATGGTTTTAAATTTTAAGGTAATATGGCCTATATATAATATGTTACTTTTATTCCTGCATTACCACAAAAGTAATTGTGTTTATTTTAGATTTCTTTGTAATATAATTTAGATGTTTGGCTCCTCAGTTTTTAACTACATGTACCAACACTGTAACTGTGTCATTTTTCTGACTAGGTGGTGTTCCGTATTGATGACCCCTCCCAGCATTATCACGTACCTCTGTTGCTCAGTCCCTATGGGTACTCCACCTACAGAGGGAGCTGACTAGAGAACACCCAGACCAGTCGCTGTCATTCTGTGTACCCAGATGTATACGATCTGATCCTAATAGTTGTTTTTATCATGACCCAAAAGCATTATTGAAAATCTGTCGTACAAATTATATTACATTTACTAGATAAAAGATTTGCTTGTATTGTTATTGTTAATGATATATATACTTGTGATTTTTTTTAATGAACTTTTCTAAATAAAATATAGTTTAAGAATGAAATTATCTTCATTATAACTTTTTTTTTATGCTTCGATCAAATTAGATGAGAAGTATAAATATAATTATTATGAATGCAATTAAATAGGAATAATATATTGACATTAATAAAATAGGAATAATATATTGACATGTCAAAATTTTTTTTGAATACTCATTTGGTGCACACATCCTGAATACTTTTGGTTACACCTCAGAATGCAGAAATATTAAGTACTAGTTTTGATTGTAAGTACTGGTTGGTTTTATGTATATGTAAATAACTGAAACCAAAAAAAAAAAAAAAAAAAAAAGAAACATTGATTCAAGAATCTTTACAAAATTAGTAATTGGCTTACATTACTGTTAAATACTAAATTCCATTTTACATTCTGCTTTTATACAAAAACCGATAAAATTTTCATCAAAAAATTTAGAATTCACAACATTGATTTTCATCAACAACAAAAGCATTATTTAGATTAAAATTAAATAAGATTTTGGGTATGAAGCAATTAGGTTTAAATACTTTTTTTCAAAAATTAAATTTATGTCTAACCATGTTATGAAGAAAATTTGACTGTGAATAGCAAGAGCATTAATTTATTATCACATACAGTATAAAATTAAGAAAATGGGGTAAATACATAAATAATATTTAGTGTCATGCATTTTAATTTCATATTGGAAAACATCATGAAATGATGCTTTTTAAGTCAGAATATCGGGTTGTAAAAAAAAATGTGTCTATCAGCAAGAGTTATATTTCTTTTATCTTTTTCCATTTTTCTAAAGAAAAAATATACTACTAATAAAAATACTTTACCTAGTTGACTGTAAATTATACAACTTTTTAGTTCTTGTAAAGAAATAGAAATGTTTTGATATGTAAAAAAAATTACACCTGATGAAATGGATTATCGGATAAGTTGGGATTTAATTTCTTTTGAAATTATCTGTTTTATCAGAGGGACATTAGACCTTAATCTTTAATTAACTTGATTTTTAGAATCTAAATGTTACTAATGACAAAATAATAGCAGGAGCTGGTGTTCTTTAACACTTGATCAAGAATTTTGCTGTATTTTATATAATTCATGAAAGAGACCATTTTTTTGCCTTGTTCATGAATCTCTTTAAGCATGACATATTACTCCAAATCAAACTAGTTTAGGAAATAAGAAAGTTATCAAATTTTGATCATGTCACCAAATTATAACTACATGTACTTGATTTTGTCTGATATATGCAGCTTTATGTATACTAGCCACTAAAGCTTTGTTAAAACTCCACAGTCACTTCAGAACAAAGACACTTTTACATGTAAAGATGAATTTAAAAATTCACATGTAAGTTGAATTAACTAAAATTCAGTGCTATATTAAATCGTATCCTTATTAAGCTTTTATGCACTGCATCCTCTGTCCTGTCATAGACAAAACCTAGCATTTGTGAGTTCTGCATTTTCTAATTGATAACATAATCAAAAATTTAGAAAAAATATACATGTAGATCAGTAGTATAACATTTTTTTTATTTCTGAACTCACCAAAGCAAAATGTCCAAGTGAGCTATTCTGATCAAAATTGCTATCTGTTATCATTGGAGTCACAAAAGTGGATCAAAGTTTGTATGTAGTCCTAAGGTATGTGAATTCAAGTTTATTCAAATAAAGATCCAGGGGGGGGGGGGGGGGGGTAGGGGGGAGCCACATAGGGGATCAAAGTTTCTCATGAAATATATAGGAATTTTTTATGATCTGAAGAAGAATAGCAGGACTAATTATTCTTATTAAAATTCAAGCATCTTCAGGTAGTGAAGACAGAATTGGTAGACATTATGATCCCCAGAGCAGTGACACAACTGGGGATCAAAATTTATAATAAAGAATCATTAAAACTCATATTCCTATAAAAATATGACTCCATATCATTGCCCATCCCACCCTCTGGCATCATGATTTGAACAAAGGTCTGTCCTACCAAAGGGTGCTTCTATCAATATAAATAATGATTACCTGGCAATTCTTGGTTTAAAAAAAAGATTAGAGATGAAATTCTTTTGAATTTGTTCCTATGCAAATGTTTTATACTGCAGCCTTTGGGGTAGGGGGAAGAAAATTCAATCACCTCCACTTCCTGAGGACTCCCACCCCCGGAAATTTCAGAGTTATTAGATTTCTATGTAAATGAAAAAATGCCCCCCCCCCCGACCCTCTCTCTTTGAACTCGAAAAACACGAACCCCTAAAAAAAACGCTGAGACATCTATCAGTAGAAATTTGACCCAAGAAAATGCGTTTTTTACTTTTTTTTAAACCACAAAACTTAGTTATATCCTGAGGTTGGGCAGTTTCAGGTTTGTTAAAATCAACCGGGGAGAGGGGCTACAATATGGGGTCAAACATTTTAATAGGAATATAAAGGGAAAAAAAACTCTTAAAATTTTCTTCTCAAGAACAGTAGGGCCAGAGAGACTCTTCTTCCCATATATTTTCATGTAAAACTTGATTCAAAACAGTGTTGCTCCACCAAGTTTCTTGGGGCTATGATTCAAACAAATTTGAATTGACACTACCTAATGATACCTGTATATAAATTAGTATGTCTGCTATATATTCTTCAGAAAACTTGTAAAAGATTTTTCATATTTACTTTGATCCGTATTGTATCCCAAACCTACCCTCAGGAACATGATATGAAGAATTTGTGTGTATTCATGTAAATTTATATGTATGACTATTGTTGAAATTCATTGCCGCGAGGTTAGGATGGGGTAAAATCGGATATCAAATTTTGCCCTATGCAAGATTACTGGGGAAAAATCCGAAATTTTTTGTGTCTTAGGAGCTGTGAGATCATGTTAGTCATATTGATATTGACGTTTAAAGTCACGTTATGACCCCTAAGGGCGAGGTGGGGCCACAAAATAGGGTGAATATTTCTCATAGGAATAAAGAAATTTTCGTTGTTGAAATTTTCTCCTTCAGAGCAAAAGGACCAAGGTGACTTAATTAAGCTTTATGGACGACGGGCCTCTCGATTTAAGCTCACCTGATCCGAACGCAATAAGCAATACTAGTCCCCTACCGGCAAGTGTAATCTGGTTCCCGTTAAGAATTGAAAATGCCATAATTCCGTCAAAAATCAATGAAGCGGAACGAATGCAAGCTTGGTCTATAACTCACCTACCAAAATTCAACTCAATATCTGCATGCGTTCAGAAAAAAGTGTGGAAAACAGAGTGGGAAAGACAGACAGACAGACAGACAGAGGGACAGCTAGACAGACAGACGGACGGACAGACTCAGAGGAAACCTATAGTCCCCTCTGGTTTCACCGGTAGGGGACTAATAAATGGATAATGAAGTATGAAGATAACGCACAGTAATCAAGCTTAAAAGTCCATCGAAACAATACAACTAGGAGCAAAGTAAACACGGACTCTAAAAACATTAGATGTGGGATCAGAGTAAAGCATCCCCTATTGACCAGTCACATCTGCCGTGTGCTTCTTGTCATAATTGGGCAAACGAAAAAATCCGTAGACAATTCAGTGTGAAATAATGGCCTAACAATTTGCATGAAAAACGTCATTCAACATTCATCTTAATGGTAGATTGTATTTGCTGAAAAGGTCATTGTATCGACCATAGAATTTGCGAAAGGTTGACTTTAGACATGACTGTTAATTTTCTTGTTTCATCAACTTATTTGTCAATAGATTGCCTTGTTTTAGAAATTGTTCGTACATAGAACATACACTCAAGACTTGCATATCGCATCAACTTAGAGACGTAAACTCCATATGCAGGTGATAATGGTATTTTGCTAAATAAACAAGCATTCTGAGAGTATTGCATTAGCAATACTAGTCCCCCTACCGGCAAGTGTAATCTGTTTCCCGCTAAAAATTGAAAATGCCATAATTCCGTCAAAAATCAATGAAGGGGAATGAAATGCAAACTTGATCTATAACTCTTCAAGGTAAAGTCACATACCAAAAATCAGCTCAATATCTGCAAGCGTTTAGAAAAAAAATTGCGGAAAACCCTGAAAAAATGAAAAGGTCTTAATTCCGTCAAAAATCATTGAAGCGGAACGAAATGCAAACTTGATCTGTAACTCATCAAGATAAACTCACATACCAAAAATCAGCTCAATATCTGCAAGCGTTTAGAAAAAAAGTGCGGAAAACCAAATGGGACAGACAGACAGAGGGACAGACAGACAGACAGACGGACGGACAGACTCTGAGGAAACCTATAGTCCCCTCCGGTTTCACCGGTAGGGGACTAACAAGCATTCTGAGAGTATTGCATTAGCAATACTAGTCCCCTACCGGCAAGTGTAATCTGTTTCCCGCTAAAAATTGAAAATGCCATAATTCCGTCAAAAATCAATGAAGCGGAATGAAATGCAAACTTGATCTTTAACTCATCAAGGTAAAGTCACACCAAAAATCTGCTCAATATCTCTGCAAGCGTTTAGAAAAAAATTGGGGAAAACCTTGAAAAATTGAAAAGGTCGTAATTCCGCCAAATCATTGAAGCGGAACGAAATGCAAACTTGATCTGTAACTCACAAAGATACACTCAGATACCAAAAATCAGCAATTTCTGCAAGCATTTAGAAAAAAAAAATGCGGAAAACCAAGTGGGACAGACTGACAGACAGACAGAGGGACAGGTGAGTTAAAAAGGAAAGAATCGAATCTGGTAGAAAGTTATATCCATTTTCACTGGCAAGCCCAGAAAATTTTCGTTTGGAAACTTTGTAAGGCAGTGGAATTTTTGTATTAAACCTGCCATATGTTTGTGATATTTGTGGACGGAATACAGGTGTTTCCTTCCGATCATGTTCACCGGTGACGTTAAGGGTAAATTTTGAAGCTGCTAAAGACGCGTAGTTTTCTGTTTTGTTTGTTTGTTTGTTTGTTTGTTTGTTTTTTTTTTTTTTTTTTTTTTTATATATACATTTCTACAGCATGTACAGTACAAATAGAAAAACCTTTTGAATTCTCCAT